AAGACCCACAGGCTGATACTGGGGTTCAAGCTTCAAGCTCAATATCAGAAAAGCAAAGTAGCCAGGCATTAGCTTCTTACCTTTCCCTCAGGCTGAAGGGGCTGATCCTGTCTCCACCAGCTCTCACCAAGCCTCAGACTGTAACCTCTGCTTAGTGTGGCTGGAGAATGAATGCCTAATACTGAGATTTTGCTTTTGTTTTATACTTCGATGATGCTGGGATTAAAGGTGTGAGCTATAATTCTCTTTTCTTTTAGACTGATTCACTCTTGTGTAGGTCTGTGTGGCCTTGGATTCACAGAGATCTGTCAATCTCTTAATCCTGAGTCCTAGGATTAAAGGTGTGTACCACCACCTCCTAGCTTCTGGCAGTTGGGATTAAAGGTGTGTGCCTGGTTTCCATGGCTTGTGGCTGACTTGGATTTCTGAATCCTCAGGCAGGCTTTAATAGATCATAAATAATATATCACTACACTGTCAGAAGGGCTCTGCTGAAATGCTGGTGTGCAATTTCTACACACAGGGTAGCTTCCCATGCCATGCTGGATAGCTGGGTTGGGCTGCGTCCTTCCTCTGAGATGAGGCCTCTGAACAAAGTCCTTGAAGATGAAATCAAGGAGCTGTCAGCACCCCCTGTGGAGGCAGTGAGGATGTGGCCCATAGCTATGATGGGAATGGGCACAGCCTCCTCCATATCTACTGGAGACCTTCTCTCTTTCACTCACTCAGCCATGGACAAACCTCACTTGCTCAATGAGAGTCTCCTGCTGAGGAAGTGTCTGGCTTGCACAAATAGCTAGAACTTGAGTGACGTGATCTGTGATGGCTTCACATGTTCCTAGGAGTCACCCTTATAGCTGTTTCTCTTATTGGTTGATGAATGACACACTGTGGCCAATAGGGCAGCAAGATAGGTGGGTCTAAGAGATGAGGAGGATTTTGGGAGGTGTAGGCAGAGAGCAGTCACTATGTAGGATGCCAGAGGAGTAACAGGTTCCTGGACCTTTCTCTGGTAAGATAAAACCATGTGGAAATACTTAAGATTAATAGAAATGGGTTAGTAAATAAGACAGAGATAGCCAATAAGAAGCCCTAGTTATTAGCCAACAGTTTCACAATTAATATGTCACTGAGTGTTCATTTGGGACTGGCACGGCTGTGGGACCAGACTGCTGGGAAAGAATGTCTATAACAGGGAGCTAAACCTTGGATCATTAAGTGATGAACTTTCATGAATGACTCTTGCAGGAGTATCATGCATATAGCCAGGGTGGTGGGTATAGCAGCAGAGAGCTCATGCAGGGCTTTCTAAGATGCCAGTGACTCTCCATCTTCTACAAAGTTACTGGGTGGACCATGTGAGGCGCCAGCATGGTGTCTGCAGGCTGTGGTGGGTGTCCAAGATACTCTGCTGCAGAAAGGGGTTTTGCACTGTGAGGAAGCTCAACGGTTTGCATTTTTTTTGTTCTTGTGGCTTTCTGACCTCTGACTTGATTCGACTTCTAACTGGTAAGTAGAGATGGTGGGATCTGAGCGTCTCTGCTCTCTGGCCAGCCATCTTCTTTTTCCCTGCTGGGGATGAGTTTGCTAGCTTTGTGGAAGTGAGATACCAGGAACTGTCCAGGCCTGGAGTGAGCTTCCTTCTCACACTGGGCTCCAGAACAGGCACGACTTTAAGAGGGGGTACAGTGAGGTCCACCCAGGACACAACAGTTGTGGTTGGCATGTAGTGGACATGGTGCACCTCACCTAACTGCCCTGTCTTGGTGCAGACCGTGGAGAAGGTGGCTTCTGGTGGACAGAGTCAAAGCAATATTTGTACTTTAAATCATCCCCTACTGCTTTCAAAATTTGAAAAATGACCCATTCTAGTCTTTTAATTGAAAACTTTTTAGTGCATGTGGTATTGCACACTTGTCCAGAGACTCAGGTTTGTCTTGATTGTTGTTGGCCTTATTGTTTTGTGAGAGTGTCTCTCAGTGAACTCAAAGCTTGATAATTAATCAGGTACACTGGCTGGCCAATGAGCTTCAGGGATCTGCCTATTTTGCCCCCTCTCTCTCCTAAGCTATAGTTAGAAGCATATAGTACTGTGCACGGCTCCTAACATGGGCTCTGAGCATCTAAATTCAGCTCTTCAAGCTTGCATGGTAGGTACCTCACTGACTGAACCCTCTCACTACCTGAAAATGGCATTTAAATAAAAACAAATATTTGATTTGTTACCCAGACTTATACAAAATAACACAAATGCCACACAAAATAAATTAAACTTCAGGTGCCAGAAAGAGTGAAGTTGAGTGTGAGGCCTCCCCACTTGGTGGCTGTAAGTCACAGGGCCATTGGGGTGATATCAAGTCTCTTGGCTGCACTTCTAGAATAGCCCACCTTGGAACAATGAGGGGGAGCATTTTTCATTCATCCAATAAACAAAACTCAGTCACCCAGCTTTGCATGTGCATCTCTTTCCAAAAGTGCTGGATGGAAGAGGAGCTTGTCTAGACATTGTCCTCCTTGGTATCCGAGGAACAGTTTGCATCCTTAGTCTTCAAGGTCCACAGCTGAAGGAACACCATAACAACCAACAGCCACGGGTACAAAGACCACGAGCCAAAAGTTGGTGTTCAGGATGGAGAAGTCTGCACAGTTCCTGCCATCTAGTTTCTCTTGATCATGGCTGCTTTGGGGGAAACTGAGCAGGCAGGCCACTCTTAGCATCTTATCCTTTTAGTCCTGCAGCTGCTTTGTATATTTGGGGAGAGTAGGAAAGTGGTAAGAAGGCTGGGGCTGTAGCTGAATTGGTGGAGTGCTTGCCTAATATACATGCCACTGTGTCCAAGGCCCTAGATCTAAATACACTGGGCAAAGTGATATAATTCTAGCACTTGGGAGTCGGGAGCATGATGATTAGGAGTTCAAGGCTAGTCTCACCTACTTAGCGAGATTGAGGCCAACTAGGAATACATGAGACCCTGTCTCAAAAGAAAAAATGGTAAGAAGCAGAATGACAATACGGGGTATATTTGGTTGGCCCCCAGGCACACTGGGAAGAGCCAGTCTTTGGCCTTTGCGATGAGGTTTTCTGGGTCCCTAAGGATCTTTGAACAACGAGAAGCCCTTCAAGCTGTCCAAGTAATTGCATGGAATCAGCCAAGAAGCTGGCTCTGTCTTTATAGCTGGAAGATCCAAGTGGCAACATTTGAGCACCGCCTGTAGTCATACAGCCAGGCTTTCTGGTAAGGTTCTAGTTGACTCCCTGGAACCGTTTTAGTTGACCAGACATTTGCAAGTCTGGGCTCCTAAGATATGCTTCTATCCTGTAAAATGTTGCCCCTGACCCATGTTTTAGTATTGGCAGCGTCTGAAATATTAACACTTTAAATGAAGATGAAAACCGTCCACTGTAGCTAGATTGCTGGCTCAGTGGTTAAGAGCACCGACTGTTCTTCCAGAGGACTTGGGTTTGATTCTCAGCACCTTCATGGTGGCTAATAACCATCTGTGAGTCCAACTCCAGGGGATTCTAATGTTTTCTGAAGGTGCCAGGCATTCATGTGGTGCAGACATCCATACAGGCAAAACATTAAAAGAGACATACATACATACATACATACATACATACATACATACATACACACACACACACACACACACACACACACACACACACACCAGACAGAAAGGAAGAAAGGAAGTAAGGGAAGTAAGAAAGAAAGCAAAAGACTGACTTCCAGTAGAAGGCTAGCTCACAACGATTGATTCTGGAGGCCGGGTGTCAGGTATGCATGGTTTTATTTAAAATGTGTCCAATAAGATTTTCCACTTGGAATGAACATTTTTACCTCTTTCTGCATGTTATCATAAACACCATCTCCTCATTTCATGGAGTTTCTTAGAAAGTTCTAGGTGATTTAACAGAAGAGCAAAATGAAAGTGTGGGGCAGATTAAATAACAGGAAGTTTTACACCACAGTGAGGGTGCTCTTGCTTCAACCTCAGGGACACACAAGTGACTAGCGGGTGAAATAACAGATCAGGTCATGCAAGTCCTCCTTGTGTCACTTGGTGTCCTTTGGCAGTTCTGGTGTCTCCTGTCACTAGCACGGAAGACAAAACGAGTCCGATGACCTCAGCAAATGGGCAAATGTCTTTTGGTGACTGAGAGAAGATGGACACAGCCGTACGGTTGCCGGAGCATTCCCTAACATGAGAATGTTCCCCTGGACCGGTCTGCTGCTCTGAGCCCCAGGGGGGTGCACCTCATGTCCTGAACCTCCCTGGTGGCTGCAGCACCCCCTGCCTCTCATCAAATGGCACTGATTTACCTGTGAAGAGCAGCACAGCAAGGTAAGCATGGGAGCACATTTTAATCAAGTGGCAGTTGTAGTTCTAAGTCAGCACTAGAACCTGGCAGCGTTAGATTGGTGTTTTCATGAGCCAAAGGTCAGAGCATGAATGAGGTCTGAATGTCATCACAGCAGACCACAGGCCACAGAAAGAAAAAGACACATCTTCAAGTGATGTCGACCTGCCAGGAAGAGAAACAGATACAGAGCACAGCAAACAGGGGCCAGAGGGGCCCAGTGGTGTGGGGTGGTGCTCCTGACTTGGGAACAGCGCCTTGTACATGGAAATGAGGTGGGCGGGGCACTGAGATTCCCACAGGCTGCTCAGAGCTCTGCTGTCATGGAAAGAAGCTAGGGGCAATGCAACAGGAGGGCAGCGGGGGTAGGGGGCGGGGCCTGGGAAACACCATCATCTCGGCCTTTGTTCTAAAGTGACTTAGAGACGGTCATTTGTTATGGAAACATAATCCCGAACAGTTCGCTCTTTCTCTCCGTAAACACATCAGTTCATAAATAACTTAAGCGTGTCCTTCGCATTCAGGACACAGTTCTGGCTGGAGTAGAAAAGGGTAGAAGATGCGCAGCGGTGGGAGGAGATGGCAGGGTGGAGTGTGGACGGACGGGCGGCTCAAGCGTCTAGGGTTCGTGCAGGCATCAGCCGTCAGACACGGGCGGGGTGACCCAGCCGTATTTCTCATGAGTCTTCACCAAACTCTTAAAGGTTGCTTCGGCTTCCTTGCGGCTGAAGGACTTTTTTGACTTGCCGGCTTTTCTGCAGATCCGTCCCTGTGTGAGATGGAGAAAGACACCAGGTTAGAGTCTCAGCAGACAGACTGTCTCCTAATAGGTTTGTTGAAGGAACATATGGCGGTGGGCGGTGGGGTATTCCTGACGACGGAATGGAGATGTGTTGACCACTAGCAAGGACGATGTGACACGCTCATGGAACAGATATGAGGTGTCCAGCTTTGATAGGGAGCACACTGGGGAGCCCCAGACTGTAAGCTTTTGGGTGTGTAGGCACCCCCCTCCCCCAAACCACAGCCCAGCTTTATCCAAACTGGTTCAGTCTGTAAGGCTGGGAGTCAGCCTTCCTGCATTCCTGAGACACAGTTGAAGGATCCATTAGGGTTACAGCACCATTTCAGATGGGAGCCTTCTCACTGGAACGCTTCAAGTGTAACTTCTGGGTTTTCTTTGGTAGTCATGGAAATAAATACATTTACACATAGATGTATATATTATGCATTCACAATGCCATCAGTTAAAAACTAAAATTTAAAGTCCAGTCTTGGGAGCAGTTACTGCCCTCCTGTCATTTCATGCATTATACAGCTTTGGAGGCAGGTGGGGGTCAGGGGTCAGAACCAACTCCTCAAAAAGACTGTGTGTGTTCTGAATGGCTGGAGCCTGGGTCGTGCCATGGGCTAGGGGACCTGGTCCATGTTAAGGTGACTGAGAAGACTGTGAAGAGAAGCTGGGCGTGTCCAACCATTTGATATGTGACAACATGTTCTTATCTACGAAGTTCACCCTTAAAAAACACATAGTTGAGTAACAGAAAGAATGCAAAAAACATCGAATCATGTTTTCAGTAAGTTTATATATCCATGCTGGGCCAAATTTATAGCTAATCCTCAGCCACATGCAGCCCAAAGGCAGAGGTAGGGACATACCTGCTAGACTGTGAGAAATCAGAAAAAAAGGTGTCACAATGGAAACAAACATATATCCAAGAGCCTGTGGTTTGTCACCAGCAGTTGGGATGGCAGTGGGCCCTTACTGGATAGCCTGCTGTGGCTCTTAGTCATCTAGCTTCTTAAGCAACTGATTACCTGAGTTGTCCCCTTTGGCTTTGTGGATGTCCTGGCTCACTCCTAATCAGGGTCATGCTTTCCCGGGGGTTAGTTCTCTCTTTGAGCAAGCATGCACATGTTATACACAGATGGGGCCCAAACACCCCTAAAGACACAGACGCTTTCCATCAGCCAGCAAGTTTCCGCATCCCATTGCCCACTACTTCTTGGTAACGGAACAGGTTTTCTGCATTCTTGGGATGCTACACTGATATGTCAGTGCAACTGTGTGCATGTACTGGACCTTGAAATGGAGGCTGGTCTTCAAACTACACCACAGTCCTGCTCCACTACCACCCTAATACGCTGAGGGTGGCACCTTGCTTGCTGCAACCCTAGCTCTTTCTGATAAACCAAGTGATAGATGCTGGACTGGATTCTAAATCTTTATCCAGGGGTGCTGGATCCCAGAGACCTGAGGGTGGAAGGGCAGGTCACATGCGTGAATTCAGAGCTTGCACTTCCAGTTCAATGGGGCCTTCTTATTCACACAAGGCAGGAATCCAGAGACCAGTGCTCTGCATGTCCAATGGCCCCACTTCCAATGGCCCCCTGGCAGGCTGCTATGTCCCTGCTATCCAGGACACCTGACACCCTTTATAAAGACTTCCAGGCTGACCAATGAGCTTTCAAAGGGAAAAGGACCCAAGGAGAGGAGGGGAGGAGAGGGGAGACAGCATCTGCCTGATGACTGTAATGATGTCCCTAAATCTTGCCAGGGTATGAGCCTGATGCTTAATTATATATGTCCATACTTTATGAAGGGTGGTTATACCCTATAACAAGTGGCCACCAAGATTTAGAACTCGAACAGCAGTGGCTGAGGTCAAAGACCAAAGCTTTGGCATCAGATATAGGGGAAGGTGTTTGTTCAGGGCAGTTGGTTTACACGTCTATGAGACCATACAGTTTTGAATAATGTGGGTATTTTAACCATCCTCATCATCCCTTTGTACAGTACTGATGACTGGTGGTCTGACTGAGTATTCTGAATTAAAACACCCAACCCAGACAAACAGGCTTGTAGTAATTATAGAACACTTGGTGGCTTTGTCATGAACACAAACTTTGCCCATTCTTTGTGAGAGTCCCAACTGTTAGAAGATACAACCAGCAAACTCCTAGTGGAACAAGTGGCCCTTTGTTGCTTTTCTCTCTTTCTGGGAGGATCATAAACACAGAGTCCAGTACGAAGTCAATTTGACGGCAGGAGAGAGGCTGCCAGGAGCTGGCAGTTCAGTGCCTTCTCTCCACTAAGCTAGCCCGTGAGAGGCTGTCGGTCCTGCAGCGAGTACACCTGGCCTGCCCGTTTCAGATGGGCCACTTCGGCGTTACACAGATCAACATTAGGTTTCAAAAGCAGCATTTCTTTTCCCCGTTCTGCCAGGTGGCTGAGTTGTTTTCACTGATGTGTCCTACAGTGCCATGAGACAGGGAGAGAAGAACCCCCTCTCACATGTCCTGTGGCCACTGCTGAGTCTGTAAGGGACCGTGTCCAGACTGCATTAGCTGAGTGGTAAGATTCACTCTGAGTGTGGCTGGCAACATTCCATGAACTGGAGTCTCAGACTGACTAAAAAAGAGCAGAAAGCCAGCTGAGCAGCCAGCGTTCATCCATCCCTGCTTCTTCACAGAGCACGGATTGTGATGCTGATGCTGTCTCACACTCCTGGGGGCATGACTCCCTGCAGTGATAGGCTGTACCCTGGATCTGTGAGCTCAGATAAACCCATCTTTCCTTAAATTAGGTTTGTCAGAACTTTTGTAGCAGCAACAAGAAATGTTGCCTAAACACTTGTTACAGATTCGCTGAGACAAGGAAACTAGTTGGAAACACGGAGACTTGGGAAGGAGACACAATTAAGGACTTTCTGGCTTACTCTCAGAGCACCCGTCTGTTTCCACATGATAATCAGAGTCTAGACTCAGACACTTCTTTTGGATAATTCTCATTTCTTCTCAACTACCTTTACTTGTGTTTCATGAGAGTGTCACTTGGATGTGACTCTCTTCCTACTACACTATGAGAACTTAGTGTCATCCTGCAGAGTCTACCACAACATACTTGGTGCCCTTTCTCTCTCCAGTGCCAGGGAAACTTAGTATTTGCCTCCCCAACCTTTAAGGGTTCAGCCCAACTGTGATGAAAAAGAGGGTTAATAAGAACACAAGAGCTGGGCCTGCACCTGTGAAACAAAGCCATTAGGTATGCCTTTGTTTAATCTTGCTTTGCTGGAGGCTTTAATGTATGTGCATACAGAGGCCACAGGTCAAACTCAGGTGTCATTCCTCAGGTTTTGATACATTATCACTCATTTTGTCTGGAGCTCGCTGATTAGGCTGAGTTGTCAGGTGAGTCCAGCGATCCTCCTGTCTTTGCTTCCCCAATGCTAGGATCATAAGCATGTCGTCCCCCGCACCATGCTTTTCCACATGGGTTTTGGATGTCAAGCTCGGGGCCTCCTGCTCACACAGCAAACACTTTGCCTACCTAGCTCTGGCTTTTGGATGAGGGAGGACAGCCATGTGATTAAATGTGAAGGCATCCCCACATCTTAGCAGCTAACAGGCTTCTAGGTGACTCCAAAGAGTGGTCCTCTCTAACATTGCACTGTATCCACCTACACATTGACCGTCAGTTTTCAGAGCCACCCTCAGCCTCCTTGTGGCTTCATTCATTAAGTGGGTTGGGCACTGACTTAAAAAACACAAAGCCATGCCACCTTTGGGAGCTTTAGGACACGATGAAGGTACAAGCTTGTTTTGGCTTTGTTGGTGTTAGTGACACTTGGGCAGGATAGGTCTGCTGAAAGTTATTCTGTACCGAGTAGGCATGAGCATCATGCCTGGCCTAATTCCACTAGGTGCTGGCATGACAATGCTCTTGTCCAGACAATGTCAAATGTCCTGGGAGACCAGTCATTACCAACTGATATCCGGCTTAGGGCCAAGCAAAGGGGCCTGGGCCCATCCATACTATTCAGCAGACACACATGCCCTTGTCTCTGGAGTGGGAACAATGCTGGCTGCTGGGCTGAATCAGATCCTAAATGTCTTCCAGCCCAGCTTTGGAAAAGGAGAAGGGAAGAGGGAACACGGAGGAAAGGTGTGGGTCTGGAGAGAGAAGGCTCACAACCAGAAGAAACTTGAAAGGAGGCCCGCCTGGGGCAGACTTTCTTTTAAGGTTGGAAATTCAAAGCAAATTCTAAGCAAAATGCATTTGTAAGTTTCCAAAAGGGCAGGTAAGACACAACACTGGCAAGATGGCTTCAAAGAAACCAGTTGCCCAGTCACAGAAAAGGACTAGTGCTGGAATAGCCACAAGTAAAGGCTTGGGATAGACTGCTGTACTCTGGGAGCCACGGCCAGATGCTCTGTATGCTTACATATGGAAATTTTAGGCTGTGTGGTGCACACATGCACACATGTATATGTTTATGCATGTGTACATGGGCTGAGTGGGGGAGGGGTAGAATTCAACTGATTCACTTTTAAGGCCTCAATCCAGCGCACCTTCCCTCCATATGTGACTTTGGTTGCTCTCAGTTTCGTTGTCTGCAAAACAACTATTATGGTCATATTATCATATTAGAAAATGCAGGGCTTCCAAAAAGGATTCAATATGCAAAAGCAGCGAATGGGTTTTTATTGTCAAGTTATCATGTCATCCATGCTCTTTAAGGTAATGCCAGTTTGCCTTCTTTTTAAAAAGCCACAAAAATTCTGTCTTTAAAGCACACATTATGACTCAGGTTATTTGTTATAAAACTGCCTTCAGGCAAACAGGCTGCATTGCCTTATCTAATTTCCCAGCCTTTTTGTGTCCACTGTAACTGTTTAACTTTAACACCACAGTTCTGTATCACTCACTTCCATAGCTTTTTATTGAGAAATTACTGTTTGGTATTTGTGCTCCATTTGCCTGTGAGT